TTGCCTGCTTGCCTGCTTGCCTGCCTGCCTGTCTGCCTGCCTGCCTGCCTGCCTGCCTGCGTGTATGAATAATGTGTGCGTGCTTGCGTGCTTGCGTACGTGCTCGCGACGTACACGCAGTTCTCACCGTCGCGTCGATGTTGAAGCTCGCGGTGCGGTTGCTTCGGAATCGCTATTTTATTAACGACTGCTCCGATCACGGGACAAACTTTTTATCAGGGATTGAAACTTCTGCTGACAAGTCTTACTCCATTTATAGTACTAACGTTTTTCGGTGGAACAATGGTGGAGGACCGAAATCATCGCGAAACCAGGTTGCCCTGAGTCGAATATATCTTTTTTCTTTTGGACGTCTATTCGCTTGGTTTCCGTCAAAGTTGAGTTCGTTTTACACTGACTTTTATCTATTTACCGTCGAATGAAATTGTAAACCGCGTAAGATGTATATCGCGCGACTAGACGTACCACGTGCACATAAATCGCGCGTCGCGCCAGTGATGACGCGCGAAACACGTAATAGAGACATCTGATAGTTTTCTAATGCAAGGGAATAATAGTGAAACTGAAGATTAAATTGAAATCGATAGACTCGTTGATTTCGGTTGTTCGTAATTGTTTCGGAACTCGATATCCATATTATCGCTACCTTCAATCCCTGTTTATCGCGATTCTAATAGTTCTTCTTGATACGTATAATAAAAGAAAGTACGACACGCGCATGAAGATCGTGGAACAAGGATATCCGCGTTGTCGATTACTTTTCTAACGCGCACACACACACATATACACATACAGAGACATACAGATGAACCATTTCGAGAAAAAGAATCGGTATACAGTTTTCGGGACAAGCAAGATAGCGTATATATTTTTAGTAAACCTACGCAAAACAAAGTCTGGAAACGGATAAATAATAACGGGATCTCTGAGCATTTTATACAAGATTATACCATGGAAATACGGTTACTTTCTATTGCGATTATGTCGCGTCGAATCATTGTCATTCACACAGAAGTCTATTTTCTGATAGGAGTGAGAGAGTGAAATATTACCGAGAATATCGGCTTAAACTGCGTGTTCGTGTACGAGCTTAAGTATTCGTGTGCATTTCCGCGTGCGTATGTATTTACCTATGGATGCGTGTGAGTGTGTGTAATATATTATATGATCGTTACTGAATTTAATCCTTAGGACGCTATCGCAGACTGTATTACTAGGTTAGGTACAAGATTATATGACGCGGTGGCGACTCGACGAATTGAATCAGGGGTAAGTTTCTCGGCCCCGCGAGAACTCGTTCGTGTAGCTTTATTTCTCGTTCGACCGTTCGATTTCTACAACACCGTACACGCCCTGTTAGCAGTATAGAATATCGAGGCGAAAAGAATCGGGCCGCGCGGAGCCACCCCTGAGTCGTTTGTTCATTTGTCATAGACTCGCCATGTAAGGAGCGCCCGCCCCTATTCTCCCAAAAAGAAATCGCTCCCTAGGTAGCTTATTTATTGAAATCACGTTTAGATACTATGGAAACCAAACCGCCCGAGATGAAGAAATACCTTTTCCTCGTACGTGTATGGAAATGTGCGCTGCTCTCTTTTATTTTACTCATTTCTCCACTCATCTCATCTCGAACTCCTCTTCGTCATCCCCTTCTTCACTGCGGCTCGTGATTTTACTTGCGGGAATTTACTTTCCATATTCATGATCCTTCATACTTGTTCGCCTGCATTTATTTCGATGTTCTTCCACGTCCATTCCGCGTAGTAAAGTTTTATTTCCCGAGCGAACGAAATAGATCTTCGAGTTCGGACTATGTATACGAGCCACGAAATCGAAGGTTCGCGGTCACGTCCGCACACCCACGTCATCCATCATGTTGTACTTATTTTTTTTTAACCCTCGCCTCGCGATTCTCAAGTTGTTCAGTGTTTAATCCGAGACAAACGAAAAAAAAAATACTCAATACCTGATTAGTTAATTTCGTTTTCGTACAAGTGGCAATGAACGGTGTTTGTATGCGTCGCTGAAATAATAAGAAAAGAAGAAAAAATGGTAAAATTGTCGTAGGCAGCAAATTCGTAGAGATGCCACGTTCCGTTCGACGAATCGGGAATGTATCGTGTTGCAAACGATTGTTGCATGTAAGATGATTTGATCGATTCTCTCGTAGCTTTTGATACCCTTTTCCTATTTGAATTTTTTACCTTCACCGCGGACGTATCCGGTGCGCCATTTCGCCATTAGTTCCATTTTCGAATTCTACGATATATACTACCTCTGAGCGGGACAGGAGTACGCGACGCACTAGTTAATCGTTTCTTTTTTCGGTTTCGTCTATCGGCACGTGGCGTGCGCAAAACTAATTACGGTAGAATGTCGCGCGCGATACACAAAATTTAAATCTCAGCAGCTGGTCGTTCGAAGAAAGATGGAAATTCGACGCTTACGATTGAATAACAGGAAATTAAATGTAACGTCTAATGTATCGTATTGTAATATGATATTGTAACACCAACTCTAAAAGGAACTAATCTAACCGTTTTTGTATCCTGTAAGCACAACGTCACGTAACGATGCGTCGAAAATCACGGAGACATTTGTAGCGATAGAAACAGAACGATCGGAACGAACCTTTCGTATAGATCACGAGTCTCCTTGATAAGTGACAAGCAATGCGTTAACCGATTATGCAGAAAAAGAACCTGATTCCCGATGAGTATAATTTCTCATAATCTCTCTTTCTTCTTGTCACTTTCTTTCTTTCTCTTTCCCTCTTTCTCTTTCTTTCTTTCTTTCTCTCTTTTTCTTTCTCCTACTCTCTCTTCCCCTCTTTGTCTTCTTCTTCTTCTCTCTGGCTCTCTTTTCTACTTTCTTTTTATTTCTTTCACGAAATTGCTCGACGTCAAGTCACTTTGCGTTTAGTTTTTTATATTACGATACTTGACGTTTTTTCTACTATCGTACGATATTTCATTGCGGCACATGTTCATGTATAGTTGCGTTTAGCGTTTTGTGAGGACATTTTTCAAAACGGATCGTGTTTTCCACGATGCGGAAACAGCACAAAGTATTCGACAATTTTTCTGTCGCCGGCGCCGTGATCTGATGTCGAGCACCAAATGACCATCTTCCTCTCTGTTTCTTTTTCTATCTCTATCTCTATCTCCTTCGTTTTTTTTTACTTTCTCACCGCGAACAAATGAGAACGGGAAAAGAAATGAATGGAACGCAAGAGATGAATCTGACTACCTTATAAATAGATAGTATACATAATGAATAAAGAAAAAATGGTAAAGTATATATATATATATATACTTTATATATATATATAAATATATGGAAGATGATGTGTATTGTAAGATATTTAATACCGACTTGTCTTAGGCATACCACGATGATCGATCGCGATGAAACGATGATAATAATAGTAATAATAATTATTACGATGATTGTTGTATAATGAACGACGACGATGATGATGATGAAGATGATGATATTCTACATTATAATTCGCGTTGTAACATAGAGGCCCACCCGTTACCCATTAAATCGATGTGTCGATGTATCCCGGGCGTGCCGCGCTTGTTCACGCGTTCATGGAAAACGGAAATTGAGTATCTGCACACGGCGAACGTTGAACGCCGACCAATTAATCAGAAATCGAATACGTTATCAAAAGATTAAAAAAAAGGAAAACAAATGTGCGGATAAAGTCATCAATCGGTTCATGTTCGAGAAACCCGTATCGAGTTTGTTGTTGTTGAACAGCCACACGCAACGAGCACAGCACGTCCGGCAGCAACTAGCAATAATATAACATTCCACCTTAAATCGCATACGTATTGCGAATTCTAATAATGTGTGCCGCCGTACGAGAGAGGAAAAACACTGTCAAATACACGCTCATACACTGCTAAATTTTGTTGTATTTATCTTTTCTACTCCTCACCCATTAGTTCATAGATCTCGTAGATATAATACATAAATATGATATCAGGAGTGATCCTGTTGATTAAAATATTTCCCTTTTACGGAATATTATTAATTAATCCTTCATTTTAATTAAATACGCAACAATTGCTTTATTGCTGACGATTTCGTAACAAAAAAGAGATATCAAATATTTGTTACACGAATAAATTGACTACAAAGATTAAACATTCAAGAATGTAAAATAATATTTTCCTTCAATTTATATGATCTGACTAGTATTTGTCTATTTATATTTACTATATTTAATTTAAAATATTTGCTACGACTTTGGTTCGATATTTATAACGCAAAGACGAATCAAAGAAGAAGGAATTACTGTATTTTATTAGAACAGTTTCGAGTTTTGCCATATCTTCAATATTTACATCAATTAAACATTCCTTAAGTATAAGAAGAATTATCTGCG